GATAATAAAACCTTTTTGAAGATAATGATACCTCATGATTTTTTTTATTTATTGTGGGGAAACGGTAGACCATTACCTAATTTGGAAAATAACAAAAAAAATTTCCCGCGATTTCCCGCAGCAACGGTCAAAGGGTTTGAACGCGTGTTAATTACATGCTAATTTATATAAATGGAAATATCATGATCTCATTTGTTTTTTTCGTATCGTCATCTTGGAATCTCATCAAATCTTTTAATATATGACAAATAAGACACATAAGCAAAGCTGCAAAGCGTTTGATTATGAAATCCACCTAAATCTTTCAAAACTTCATTAAACTAGTTTTTTTTTTAATCTAAATAAATAATAATTATAAATCGGGAAATCGAGTACCAGTAAAACCCTACAAGTTTGCGTTGGCGATTCGTACCTGTAACCGTACTTGTTTCTTTCATTTCATTACAGGTTAGAAGACGTTGTCAAAACAAATCTCTCCTTTTTTTTTTTTCCTTGTTCTATTTTTTTTTTTTCTTCCTAATCGGAGATGTCACAATCCCTTTGATAACTTCAAAGGGATAACGCGCGACGGATTTCATTGTCTTTTATTTTCTTAAACAAGACATCATGTCGTCATACCAGAAATGATTCCGGAATGAAATCCGCGCGTTGCTAAATACGACCCTTCCATAAAGAAGAATTGCCTCATAAGGTCATACGCTCACAATGTGAATGAGTCATACATCACCATCCTTATAGGGGCCACTCATTCATGGCATTACCGTATTTGTACTCTACATAATGAACGGACTTGACCAATTCCCTAAATTTATCGTCAAATCATAAATTGACCCGAATGAAGGTAATAAGAGAGATGTTCTTTTATTCCTTTTTGTCCTTAACACCCCCTTTTGTCTTTAATTTTTTTTTTTTAAAATAAAAGAAGGACAACATACAATCATTCATTGACATGTAGGTGAAAATCCTGTCATGAAACCTCCTATTGATGTTAAATTAATTGATTTATAGGTTTCCGAATATGATACCATAAAAGTATTTATTAAATTTATAAATCAATCTATTTTTAAATTTATTTTAATTTGGTTTCATTGAAACTAATTAACCTTAAATTAAACTAGGAACTTGTTTTTATTTTAAGTTAATGCTTGCACAAAAAACAAATACACGGCAGTTCACAAACTTTAAAAAGAAACCCCCCAAAATTTCATTGTTCTCCTAAAGAGAAAATTTGCGTCCGCTAAACAAATATCATAGCGTGGAAAAAAAAAAAAAAAAAAAAATGTTTATTTCACAGTGATAATCACAGGTCTCATGGTCTCATCACAACGGGTGAATTTTCGCCTCGTCTTTACGCATAAGCATACCACTTTTTTATTTGACATCAATTGGAGGAAGGGGGAAAAGTAAAACCCTCCTATTATTATTATTATTATTATTATTATTATTATTATTATTATTATTAATTATTATTATTATTGCTTGTGTTTTTTTTGATTTATTTGTCTTACCCGTCTGTTCATTTTTCCATTTGACTTTATATTTTGAAATCATCACTGGTGTCACTCTTTGAAACTGTGCTCGGTTACTTGAGCGTTTTGGGAAATGGGTCATAATAATAACGACCGCCCAAATCGCGTTACACAAAATCGTCGACTCTTATTTTGGGCTTAATTAAAATGGGAAATAATTAAAGTATTGTACAAATGCTTAGCCAAGAAAGATTGTACGTTTGTTTATTGATTTTCGTTACGTGCTACAAGAAATCACTTTACTTTGTTTTTTCTTTATAGGTGGAGAAGGTATAAACGAAACGTCAATTTTTTAAAAATAAAGTCAAAAAAGGATGTCATGATTTCATGATTAGTATAATGAAAGTTGTTCACGCTTTGCTCTGTTTGTGGGGTAAACCAAAATAAATGAAATGAATGAAGCAAATGAAGTAAAAAAAAAAAAAAACACAAAACAAAACAAAAAGGGAAGAGGGCTTTGCCATCCCCCTGTTTATATGAACATGTATGAGCTGCCAATCGTGAATTGTATGATCTTTGAGATTTTTTTTTTAACAATTTTTTTCCGATTTATTTAATTTTTTTTTTTTTATTATTCAATAAAACTTAAAAAACGCCATCATATACTTTAAGAGTACCAAAAAAAGACTCCAAATAATAAATTCATGATATCATATCTTTTCATCTTTTTCATTTAATCTTCAATTAATAAAAAAAATTCATAAAAGATTTTATTATTTAATTCAAGGAAAGGTGTATTGTTCATCGACCTTCAGGTGTGTATGACCTGTGTGATCATCGGATTGTTCCTTCTGAAGATCAAACTTTAAAAGGTTTTCGCTCTAGGCAGAAATTGTTTAAAATGTACACGTTCTAACCGTAAGGAAAACTTGCTTGACTACGTGCTTTCTTTCTAAAATGTTTAAATGATCGATCTTGAATGACTCCCATCAAATAAATATTTACCCCAGCTTTGAATCATTTGACCCTTTATTAAAGTAAAAAGATACCTCGTAAACCGCGTTAGTTTCATAACTAAATTAGGAATAAGTTTCATAGTTCTATGAAATAAATAAAAAAAAGAGTGTCACAAGGTTATTTTTTTTGCCTAGAAAAATCGAGCTAGCATTAATTCATACGCTTATTCAACCTTACGGAATAAAGTTGAACCATCCTCTTAACGTTGACGGGAATTCTCTCATTTTATTATAAATGACCTAAAATGGTTAACCCATTTTCTCACCTTTGAAAGTCCTTGACGTTTTTTGTTTATCATTTATTCATTCATCAAAGAACTCACAAAAAAATATATTTTTTTTTTTTTAATCAAGATTAATTAAGGAATCCTTAAAAAGACAAGAAAGAAACCAAACAAAAAAATCTTTGATGACTAATGTTGATTACGATTACGGACGGACAAAGGTTTGAAACATTGAAAAATGAGAGGTGTTTGATGGTTGTTTGGTGTTTTGTGTTTATCTTTTTTTTTTGTTTACCGTAGCATAATTAGGAATGTGGAGCGGAGTATTCCAGATCAAATTCCGAATGGTATTGTACTAAAATTAGTTTAATTATGTAATTTTTAAGGTTTATTAATGATAACATAAATAGTCAAGTCTGGTAATTTTAAAGTTTTTATATAGTAAAGTTTGATTTCCAATTTTAAAAAGTTAGTAAATTTCCTTTTTTGACGAAACATTGAATGGTCGAATGGTAAATGAGAAAGATAATTTTGAAAGCAAATCACTTTCTGATCTAAACATCTTGGCAAAAACATATTTCACCCATGTTTTCACTTTCTTTATATGAAAGAGTGCGCTTGAATAAGTTCCCTTTTATAGGAAAAAATGGAAAAATGGAATTTCTTTTTTCTCTTCTCGATCATGCGTCTGTTAATTAATTAATTAAATTTCAAGTTTAATTAAAATTAAATCCATCAATGACAACACGGATACTTACTGTTCCGATTTTCCGGAGGGGATTTTTGGGAGGGTTCTAAATACAAGGACGGTTTTATAATTTTTCTTTTATAATTTGAGTTTTCGGGTCAAGTCTTGTCATACCTCATCACGTTTTTTAACGACGAAAATCCCTCACCCATTATCAAAATATTTTGTAAACATAAATGCAATTTTTTTTTTTTTTTGGTTCGATGGAATAATTTTAATGTTAAAGTTTTTTTCGATGATTACATTTCTTTTTTGATTGACGACCCTTTTCAAAAAAAAACAAAAAAAAAAACACTGTATATATAAAATATATGTATGTATATAATGATGATTAAATTATTATTATTAATTATTATTATTATTATTATTATTCCAAATAATGCTTGAAAAAAGGGAATAAATCACTTTCGGGGGAGGACAAAGTAAAGGAAAAAAAAAAAAACACTTGAAAAAAATAAATTTTTTTTTTTTTGGAAAAAATAAAAACACCACGTTCACTATTTGAATTTAATTATTCTTTTCTTAATTTTTTTTTCTTTGCATTTTTTTTTTCTTAATACAAAAAAAAAAAAATATACATTCACAAAAAAAAAAAAAAAAAGCACAGAAAAAAAAAAACTTTCGTTAAAAAATATAATGTAAATGAAACTAATTAATGGATGAAAGAATTGTAGTAAGTAATTAATAATATATACGTTAAGACTATATATGAATATGTTGTGATGATGGTAAAATACTAAAAATATAGTGAGTTGAAAAAAATTTCGTTATTAAAATTTAAGTTTTTTTTTTTTTTTTTTTTTTTTTTTCGTGTCAAATGTGATGTTTTGAAAATAAAAGTGTGATAAAACAAAAACCGATCCGCCTAAAAAGTGATAGTGGCGATGAATTAGATTACTTGATAAAATCATTAGGATTTTTTTATCTTTCGATCAAAAATACCATCAAAAAAAATGAAAACAAATGAAAAAAAAAAAAGATATACAAAGAAAAAAAATTGATGTAAAGAGAAAAAAATCGTAGTAAAAAAAAAAAAATAAAACTAAGTAAAAAACTAAAATAGGCAAGAGGAAAAAAAAAAGTTCGTTATATGATGAAAAAAATATAAGCGTTGGGAAAAAAAACTATACAAAAATGGGTGAGTAATTCATATCGGTTATAATAATTTTTTTGATATATTATAAGGAAAAAAAAAAATAAGAAAGAAAAAACTATACAAATTTTTTTATCACGAAAAGAAAAAAAAAATATTTACGAAAGAATGATATGGAAGAATAATGGAATGAATGAAGGATATGTATAAATATCACTCGTCATCATAGCTAGTAATTAGAATAATAAAATATAGTATTCCATCGCACATACCGCCAAAACCACACTAGCAAAATAAAATTGAAAAAAAAAAAGATTCCACACAATTGTCCTTGTAAAGAAGAATGGTAATGAAAAAAAAAATAAAGGATAATCGAACGAAGTAAAAAAGAATTTTTGTTTGTTCCTGTTCTTTCATCAAATTCACGTCATCGAATTTGTGAATGTTCATTCAGTGTTGCAACGTCGTGTGAAGATTGCCAGTCTGATAAGTTTGCAAATAGGGTGTGAAATTGCTAAAATTTCTCGCATTTGAGTTCTTCTCCTTTCCGTTGGGTCGATGAACTCTAACATGCTGAGAAAGATTGTCCGAACGTGAGAATCGTTTTGTACAATGCGGATGAGGACAATGGAAGGCTAAAAGTAGAAAAAAAAAGAATCAGAACGCGTAACGTTTGAATCGAGCGTAACCTAAGTTCAATAATACTTACGTCTTTCAAGAGTGTGTATCGACCGAATGTGTCTCTTAAGATGTTCTGAACGCTTAAAGATTCTTCCGCAACCTGCGTAAGTACACTCGAATGATTTTGTTCCCGGTTTGGCAGGTTTGTTTGACATACGTCGACCCCTTGATTTGCCAGATTTTTGCGGTGAAGATAAAGGTGAAGTCATTAGAGAATGGAATTCTTCTGGATCCTGAAGTTGGATTCCAGTGTTCATGGCAGCGCTTGTCACGTTGGCCCTTCGGCCCCGCCGTTTTATTGTCGAAGGTTGCATCAGATCTTGACTTGGCATGATCTCTCTCTCCTCACTTATCAAATGTTGTTGTTGTTGATGTTGTTGTTGATGATATTGATGAGGAATGACGGTTGGCGCCATGATGGGAGATTGATCATGAGGGGAATCAATGGGGGTAAGAGGATTCGTTGAAGAGATGCTGGCTGGACAAACAGCGAGATCTGGACAACTGCTCTCAGAGCTTAGAGTTCTAGTCATATCATATAGAGAGGCGTCGAGTGAATCATATTCAATTTTTATTTTTGGATCAAATAAGCTATAATTGTCGCTCTCCGGGGAGGAACATGTGGTCGCGTGAGTTTGAGGGATCATTCTAAAAGCATAAGCCTCCATGAGCTGTTCGTTATCGGTTGTAAGAAGATCGGTGAAAGAGATGCCCCTGTTATTAATGAGGTAATCTGTAGTCATGTCCATTTCTTTTGCATGGTGTTGATTGAATGGCTGCGTTGAATGATGAATGATGGGCACTGTTGGGGAAGCCATTGAATAATTGAATGAAAAAGCCGTGGGATCGGAGAGATCCGGGAAATCATAACGTTCATAACGGAGAGATGATACCATTTTTCGTAAAAAACCGTAGATTTATGATTTAAAAAAATATTTCGTTAAAAAAAAAAGTAATCGCGTAAAATTTTTGTATTGTCGGCTCGTTAAAAGTCTGGATTTGTTAACCGTCTTCCAAGTAGGATGGTGATGTGATAAAACGTTTCTTGTTTTCCGGACTTTGTAAAATAAAATAAAAAATTTTTATTCCTTTTCTTCCAAAATAAACTTTTTGTTTCGTGACAAAAAAAAAAAAAAATTGGGAAAAAGTAAGAAGTTTGGAATAAAAGTAAATATATACGGTTGTTGAAGGTAAAAATTAAAAGGTTTTTGCCAAGTTTTTGTAAAATATTCTGGTTTTCAAAGAGTCATTAAAAAAAATAGCCAATATTGTGTTGTAATGAGTAATTATAATTATTTTTTTTTTTTTTTTTTTTTTTGAGATTTCAGTTAACGTTAAACGTAAGAAGAAAAAAAAAGAAGAGAGGACACTCTTTTTTTTTTGTGGAGAAAAAAAAGGAGGTAATCAAAAAACAGTTGGATATCACTTGAACTGCTTGAAGTTAAAAAAGCTCGAGGTTTTTTTTTTAGATTTTTTTTTTTTTTTTTTTTTTGGAGTATATATATATGTGACTAAAATTTTTTTTTATTTAGTAAGACATACGATACGATAAACGATACGAAGAAAAAAAATTACTAAACGAAAAAAAAAAATTATGATATATACACAACAAAGGGATATGAAAGAGAAGAAAAAAGAGGTCACAAAAAAAAAGGAAGAAAAGAAAAAAAATTTTTTTTTTTTTTTTTTTCGTTAAAATTTTTTCTCTTTTGAAAGTTAAAGGCAAAATTGCCCTTTTTATCTTGTGGTAATTTTTTTTTTTTTTTTTTTTTTTAAAATAAAAAAAAAAAGTATTGGTTATTGTCAATAGTCAAATGTCGATTGAAATATTTATGTATATGTATATGGTAAATGCTTGTTTAAAATAATTATATTTTAAAATTATAATACTAATATAAATTAGACTTTTAGACTTAAATAAAGTTATTGTTTATATTAAACAGAAGGATTCAAAAAAAAAAAAAATTTATTATTATTTTTTTTTTTTTTTTAGTATAATATTTATATTGTCATATCATTTCAACTGTGATATTACCAAATTTATGCTATACAACATGATTCTTTTAAACTTTTTTTTTACAAAAAAAAAAGAGAGTTCATTTTTTCATATCTCGGAGAGATGACATAAAGGGATTTTCAATATCCGATTTGAGCCATTACCACCTGAAAGGCTGGTCATTGACGCTCTCCGATGAGTCCGTCATTTCAATTTCAATAAACTTCAACTGTAACGACTTTTGTTACTGTTACAGTAAATCATCAAACTAGTAAACAAAAAGCATAAATATAAACATTTAATAAATGAAAAATTTTTATTTATATAATATAAAAAAGGGCCACTTGGTTAATTTTGTGATGGTGCGTGTGATTTAAGAAACTTGATGTGATATTACAATGAAAAAGCTCTAAACGCAACCGTTTTTTTTTGATTGGTACGAAACCCATTCTCTCTTGGTCGTGCGACTATTTTGAAAGTGAAATGAAAAATTTGCTGAGCTGCAGCCACAAGAAATCGTCAATGTGTCATGAATGCAACAAAGATGAAATAAATTTTATTTTTCCAAAAAGAAATGGATGCAATGATACGAGCACAAGTCACATCAAGAAAAAAAAAAAAGATGCACATTCGGAAACGTTACAAAATACCAAAATTACCATTTATTAAATTTTTTTTTATTGATATTAATTTTTGATTACTTAACTGAATATACATGGATTATCATGTGTTAAACTATGAGCTCTTTCAAGGTTGAGCATATGACCGACTTGTTCATTAAAATTTTGATTGTAATGACCAAAAAAATCCTGAATTGGAATCTACGATTGAATCAATGTTTCGTCACAGATATGTTTGTGATCATGAATCGCCTGCTGCTTGTTTTTTATTTAATTTTCTTTTTTTTTTTTTTACAAAAAAAAAGCTCCTTAAATGTATCTGTGCGCTATTTGGGATTTTTTTTCCTAAAAGTTTTTTTTTTGCCGTTTTCAAAAGAAAAAATTCGAGTGTCCATTTTTGGACATGCCTTAATTTTTTTTTTTTTTTTTTTCTCAGGCTAACGTGTAAATTTCCTAATCATTCTGCTCTAATTTATTATTTATTTGTTTTGTAATCGCTTTCTACTAAAATTAGTAATGACGACCATCTATTTTATTCAAAGGTGGGACGTCAATTTTGATTGGGAAACAAAAAAAAAAAAAGCATCGACTGCGTTCTCTTTCTCAATTCATCACACAACCGTTTCATGTTTTTCTTAACTTTATTATTATTATTTTTTTTCTAAAAAAAAAAAAAAAAAGAAAAATGTGCCCGCCAGAAAGTTGCAAGTATGTTTATATAACAATGTATTAGTTCATGCACGGTAGATTAAATAAAGGCAATTGTTACAATTGTTGCGTGGCGTCAATAGCCAAGAAATAAAGAAGGAAATTCCCTTTGAGTTGAATTTGTTACTATTATTATTTCTCATATTTCCTTTCAAAACCATAATTGAGATATAAACCGAAACCGTTAAACCAACCAAATTAACGAGACCACCGCATAACTAATAAGGTAAACAACATTATTTGATTTTTCGAGCCGGTTGTAAATAAATGTAATGTAATAATAAATAATTTCACACACATGAAATGAAAATTTTATTCGTTTATCTCGTACATTGCATACGACAGATATTTTGGGTAGCGAATCAAGTCACTTGACACAAAAATAATTGCGAGCATGATGTTGATAAACCACTTGATTACTATCATTCTATCGGATTTGGTAATTTTCATTCATTATTTATAAAGCCGTCCCTGATTGGTTAGAAATCTTCATGATCTCGACCAATGTATCCAACCTTTTAAACCCAACACCATATGGATGATCTCACCCTAAATATAGAAACCTGCAAAGGTTTATTTTATTTTTATTTTTATTTTTTATTTATTTTTTTTTTTGGGTCGATAAGCTCGGTCATTTCGGTGTATTTGTAATGTGATGATATGCACTCGTGCGCTTCATTTCCTCTGACCCTACTTGGGAAATTGAGCATATATGGTTATTTGGGCGGGATTTTTATTATTTTTATTCTTGTTTTGAACTATTTCTCCAATTCTTTTTCCGTTCAATGGTCGGGCGTGATATGTTAGTAGTGCTCATACATAAAAAAATGTGAGTGTGGGCATGGTGTCGCAGAAGATTTGAAATCTTTCTTATTCTTTTAATAATTCCAAAAAAGTCAATTCATTCGAGAATCAAACATGGTAATATGAAGAGACTTGGAAAAAACATACAAATTTGGGGTGATGCCGATCATGCGTTCCGAGTCTTGCCGCAGCACCTCCGGTCTTTTCCACGCCGCGTATTTCGAGTCAAAAAAAAAAAATGGCTTGTGCTGCGTCGTATCCTTTGTCGTTTGATGATGATGATGATGATATTATTATTTATTCTCTTTCTCATACCAATCATTTAAACCATGATACGGTTAAGAAGGGGCACCGATTTCTCTACAACGTAACGCTCTTTCCGATCACCGATAAAGAAGACAGCACGCACCGAACGCTCGTCAGCTGCTGAAGGTTGAATTTCTTTTGCTGACCTTATGTTTACGGTGTGAATTATGTAACAAAAGGGTTTAAGGGTTTTCGTGGTGACACATTCCTATCCTAAAAGGAATAATATTATTCACAATAATAAATTATTCTCATTATCGTATAGACAAAGAAGTAAAGGATGCCAAGCAATCCCGTTTTCATCAGCGAACAAATGAGATTATTAACTAATAACATGCCTTTTATTATTATTATTATTATTATTTCTTTCTTATGATATTTTTTATTTCATCATCGTCATTTAAAATATTCATAATTTTGATTATTACTAACAAACATGACATGGCAACATTTTGTGTGCTCAAAATAAAATAAAATAATAATAAATCAAATAAAGGCATCCGAACTTCCAAAGATGGAAATTAAATTAAGAAACGTATGTTTTTTTAAAAAAAAGAAATTCCATTCCGATTGTCTTTTGATGACCGAACTTCAAAATATTTTTTTTTTGTTTATTCTCCAAAAAATAAAAAAAGTCATCTTTACCGTATGGCCTTACATAAAGGTTCCACACTAAATCACATGGGTCACATCCATTCCATTCAAATCTAGGTTTAAGAGGTTTTATAATAATTACTATATTGGGCAATCCTTTTTCTTTTAAAGAACGTTGAAAAAGTGTAAGCGTGCCGAATGTTTTTATTCTTGATCTTTTTAATCATTCATATTTTTTTTTTTAATTAGGACATATTTGGTAGTTGAAATGTTTGAGCCTATAATAGAAAGAATTAATTTTTGGAATATGAGATCTTTTTGATGTTAAATCAAACTTTGCCGTTCAAGTAAATTACGTCCGTGAGGCTTACTCTTTTTGTAACCCTTATATACCTTACCTTGCCGAATTTATCAATTAATCCCCACAGTATATTGCGTCCGTATTGAGGAATGATTTTCATCGTTTTTAAATTCGAATTTTATTTTTTCTTCTTTTATTGTGTGCTTTGGGCGGGGCGGGGGCTTGGTTACTGCTTACATAGATTATAGTAAAAAAAAAAAAACCTGTGCGGTTACGTCAAAAAAAAAAAAAAAAAAAAAATATCAAGGAAAAAACCCAAGGAAAATTAAACTCGTACACATGATGTAATGAAAACATTATGACTTCATGCGTTCAACGTTCCACTCAGCATATCTCCCATGTTGAATGAATATTATTATTTTATTATCATTGAAAATAAAACAAAAGAATAATAGAATAACGGAGATTTTTACCGTGACGATACGACCGATAACGTCAATTGACCGAAGATCCATGATCGATTTGTGTCAAAAATGATGAAAGTGTCAAAGTGATGATTTTGCCGCA